CTGTACTCGCTCGAACGAAGGTTAAGGAGGGGCGATCTCATCCAGGCTTTCAAGATAATTAAAGGAATAGATAATGTCGAGTGTGGTAGGTTTTTCCAGTTTGATGACAGCAAGAGAACGAGAGGTAACCGACTTAAGTTGCGCAAACCGCAGGTGCGGCTCAGGTCGAGACAGGAATTCTTTACTTGCAGAGTGGTGAACGCGTGGAATGCGTTAGATGACGAAGTAGTGGCTGCCCCTTCTGTGACTATCTTTAAGAAGAAACTAGATGCTTTCATGGACAGGCAAAAAGGTGGGGGGCAATGTTGACGTAGGTACTAGACAGTAAGCAACTAGGATAGTAAAAAAAAAAAAAAAAAAAAATTACAAAAATACAAAAATATATAGCTTTAAGAGGGTTAGGCCTACCCTAAAATTAAGGAACGCTCGACCTCGACACGTGATATCGAAATGGGCGAAATCGCCTCTTGATATCACTAACTCTCCTGACTCCTGACTCCTGAGAGGAGTGTCTCTCATGACCTTACCCCATTCATTTCACCTCTGGTATGAGAATTGGGACAGTTTCCAACTTTTGGTGAAGGTTCCTCCAGTTAAGAAGGGATGCTTGGAGGAGGGAACGGAGGCCATTTTAACTGCTGCACTGACGAATATTTCATACACACTTTGAAATTTTCGAGCATTTAGGGAGTAAAACGTGAGCACTATATGAGCTATCTCAAATGTACTCTCTTATTACTCACCAAATACTCCCTCATTGTTCGTAGTGAGGTGAACATCTTGAAGTTCTTCGCCAGGCCACTAGATGGAGGTAAGGGTCTCGCTTTCGCACAGTACACAAATGTTCCCTTCCCTCTCTGGAATCGCCCCTCGCAGGATTATTTTGTACCTCGACATATGTATCGCCTAGTTTCATTTTAGGAATCAATAAACACGGACTTTACATCATTTGTTATCCACATACTCAAGACAGATTCATAGAGCCCATGTCATGAACAAGCTCATATTTCTGATCAGAACCCTTTTACAATTGCAGAGGAGATCTAGAACAGAAAGGGGGCGTCCATGAACTCAATCCTATCACTTCCTGAGGTTAATGAGAGATTGAGGAGATGAAGAAGTGATATCGCCGACACTCCATGGAACCGTAATAGGTGGTTCATCCTCTGACATGTACAGTAATCAGTACAGTCAAAGGTGGGTTGATGCCTGTACTGTACCAGAGCGAAAGAGACACATGGTATATTTGAGGATTTGCATATTTGCATGACATCCCTATCTCTTTCTGAGGGGGATCGTTTTTACTCATGGAGGAGGAGAGCAATGTTACTCCATGGTGATGGAGCAAATACGCTCCTTTCCCAGAGTGAAAGGGGAGGGAAACTGGAGTTACTGATTTTACTGTCTTTTTGTAAAAAAAAAATCTCTCCCCTTTTTCTAAGATTCTACACTCAATCAGCAACGTGTCTCAAGTCCTTAAAACCAAGGAGTCAGGAGTCAAGGACTCTAGATATCTGCGAACAGGCGCCTCCCGGCAGTCCGCAGAAGCGCGATTGACGAAGCACTTTTCTTTTAAATATGAGGAAAATCGCACGGTGCTTCCATTACTTTTGTTGAAACTGGTTCATAATTTCACTTACCGTCACAACAAGAAGTCTCCCTGCATTCGCCATCCTCCATTCCAATATTTCTTATCTGCACGGAATATTACAAAGAGTAAGCTATCCTTTGGTTTATGTTCTGAGCTAAAGTAGCGAAGACTCTCCCGCTACAGAGAATACAACTGCAAGAAATTAACATGAAGGCGTGAGAACTGCACCTTGAGAAAGGAGCATTTCCGATTCAGTGACCTCCAGTCATCCGTAGAGAAGGTGTCAAGGGCTGCGGAAGATACTAAAGGGCGATGGACTAGGAGGCCTCGTCTCTCCATCTCCCTCCAAAGTTTGATCCGACTTTGTACCACTGTGTGAGTCCCACCCTCGACGATGAAGAGGGTACGGATGGCCCGAGAGATCCCCTCAATCATGCATGAGTCTTCTACCCCAACGCACATCACCTGAGGACTCTCGCATCCTCGGAAATCACTCGGACTGAAGATCTCTGGCACTTTCGTTGTTTTCATCAGCTTGAGAGCGTCAGTGAAGATCTCCCTGGTCATCTCATCTGATATCAACACCACGACGTTCTCCTATCGTGTAATGGGAGAAGATTTAAATGAATACGCAAGTAACTCCAGAATTATCTAGTTCGTGCTTAGATAGATTGAGTTGTTGGCTGTTGAGCTGCTGTAATGAAGACCTAAGGGTACACTTAAATTCATGTCAACATTCCATATTTCCATCCTCATTGCAGTCGATTCATTGACAGCATCTCTCAGGAACTATCGTTTTAGATTGCACTTCGCAACATAAAACAAGTTTTTCCTAGAAGCTCATTGCTCTTAACCAAAATGTGAAAATTCGTAGAGAGCTTGACAAGGAAATGAGGACCGACTAATCTAAACATGCTGTACTCAAAAGTTACGACTTTGTTGGAACTCAGATTGCCACCAGAAAAAAGTGAATAATGAATAATATTAATTTTAAAATGTACGTGTTCAGATAACGCCTCAAGTCTCGGAAACAATTTAAAAAATGCATAAGGTTGCTTCTCATAAATCTTCCGATTGTCCGTAAGCTCGTTATCCTCAACTTTCAGTCCTTGCACTAAGTTACCCTCCGATTAGTCCTATTCTCTACTTCATGCTTTCTGGCCATTTGGAAAGAAGCGTTTTGTTCTGTAACTTACCAATATCTCTATATCTAACCTCCCAATACAGGAATATACAGTATATTGAGACATTCAGCAAAGTCCCAATCTGGAGAGAACCCGTCATCTAATAAGCTACAGCAGTTAACTTGGTAAGGATAATTTAAAGAGAAGAATATATGCCAGAGAATGAGTAGTTTTTATAGCTGCATTCCGTCGATGGAATCTGCACCTGAAAAAGGAAGCGACAGGTAAAAGCTGCATATGGAGGTTTTTCATAACGGAATCACTCCCCTTCCTCTCCATACAAGTGTTTTGGGAATATGCTACTCGTGGGTCCCTTCTTATATTGCTCAAAGCTACTGGAAACAGAATTCCAAAGTGAGAAAATATACGCGATGCAATCCAAATCTGGATTATCAGGATTATCTATAGGCCTACAAGGTAACGATATAATTCAATATTTACTTGACCCAAATTTGACCCAGGTTTGTCCACATTTTAGGGAGAGTATCTAGCAATTAGCGATTTGGAAGCACATTTGAAGCTCGACTTAAACTAGAACGGATTGTGGGCCAACAGAATAGGCAAGCTCATGATTCGTATTGTGAGATGAGATGGATGAAGTAAAAAAGTATGAGCCATACCTGGATGTAAGAGTGCATGAAAGCAGCAGCGGTTATAGCAACGCATCCTCGACCTTGGCCACTGATGCACTTGAATCCCCCATGGTAATGCGTTGCGAGAGGAGGAGTGATGAGGGTTGGTTTCTCCCCGAACACGAGAGAGGAGACTTCAGGTCTCATGGTCAAAGTCACTGGTATCATCCTCAGTTCATCGGGCGATTCGTGAGAGAGGATGTGATGAAGGAGGCGAGGAAACCCCACATCTCGCCATCCTCCCTCCAGGATTCTCACCCCTAAAGGATAGGACAAGGAAAATACACGTCTCTCTCAGAGTCCGAATCGAAAATTTTATTAACTGACAATACAAAAATGGCAGAAGAGATAGTACTCGGGAGGAAAGACAATGAAAGGATGAGAAAGGTGGACTCGAGCTGAATAGGCCATTGCAAATATCAAGCTGTGAATTCATAATTATTATCCAAGCTTATTTTTCCTCCAACTCCGTTTAACGTATCTCCCTCCCTTCTAAATTCTTCTTTACCCAATGTTTTCACCCTCTCATGTTCTCATACAGAGTGGGCCCAAATTTAATTAGCCCGTTTCATTCATTGCTACATTCGAATAAATAAGGTCACGCTTATGTGATTTTGAAGATGAATGTTGCTCCTCTTTATTGATCGAATACATATATTACAAAGGAAACATGGTTCACAGTTATATAATATTCTCTTTACACTATAAGTACAGGAGCGGTCATTATGGCCGCTAGCAGATTTTTAAGCGTAAAGGTAAAGCGCACTGAAGCTATTTTTTACTTCTCGACTTTAAGAGTTATTATGCAACAATAGTCATACTTCCTTGGAATATGTTGGGTTCCATAAGGAAATACATGTGCTACTTATCCCTAGAATTGCTTGAGCGCGACCAAATTGGTATGTTCGCAGATACAAATGAAATATATTTTTTTTGCTCGCTTACCCTGTACAACCAATGATCAGCACATTTCTGCAGAAAATCAAGTGAAAGAAGTCAATATTTCAAACTGGAAACTAATACTTGTAAAGCCTACTCCGGTCATAAATGATCGAGTGGATGAAAGTCAAGAAATGCAAGGTCAACCAATTCCACAGTCTAACCGTTTATCACATCGCATTCACATTACAGGACGTGTCTTCCAATGATTGTTTGAATCGCACGACCATATATAAGGCACAGTAAGTCACTTATGACTTTCTTCTGACAGCTACGATATTAAAAATCATGGACCCCGATGTTACAATGGAATTTACTTACTATGATAGTACGGTAAAGTGGTAAATTCAAAATCTCCCTCAAAATGTCTGTGAACATTTTTTAGAAATGCGCAGAAAAATCTGCAAAAAATCATTAGGTACATGACGTACTTACATATATAATTGTTGTTTAAATGTTTCACGAGAAAAGCAAAATTTGCGATAAAAGTCGAAGACTATATTACAATTAATAATAAAATGTTGATGCCAATTAATAAGTGAGGTGGCATACTTGTTTTCCGAACATTTTCCCTTAACTGTTCATCAGATGAGAAATTATGACTTGTATTTATAAGGGGAGTCGTGAAATCCTTTAGCAAACCGCTTGAGGTCGAAGCGGGTACTCGAACATTGGGTATAAGACTGGAAGGCAATGGTGAGAGAAGCAAGTGAGTCTTGAAACCGAGAGAGTGATCCGAAGATGGACTCCCATACATCGCTCAAAACGTCCGTGTCGCCATCGATGGGATGAACGGGTGCATCATGGAATGCGATATGAATTCTTCGTCCGTCTTCCTGCCCCTTCTCCAACATATTCATCAGAAGTTGTTCAATGACTCGGGGGGAAAGAGACACAATATTCCCGAGTTGCTGGAAGAGGTCGTGGATATCGAATACTTCGATCTCCTCGTTCATTCCTCTCATCTTTAGCTTCTCTTTCAAGTCCGTCGTGGAGAGGCTCCTTGGATATGAATGCCTGTTCCATCTGCTACAGTCAACGAGCATAATATGTGAATTGATTGTTGCTGTCGATTCAGCAATCTTCTCTTGCTGCACCTTCCACATTAATTTCTCGAGGAGAAAAGTAGTCTTTCCCGAGCGGTTTGATCCGAAGAGAAGCTCAAATTTTCTCTCATCGATCTCGGAATAATGTGGATTGGGGCAGTCTGGTTCCATGAACATGGCCCACGAGATCTCTGCATAAGACGATTCATCCAGTAGACCAGCAGAAACGTTGGTTGTAGGACGAAGTTCGCGTAAAGGATATATCGAGACGAGTCCAAGCCGTTCAGGTTCTTCCCAGTGACTCAAGGCAATGGGTCGGTGGTGATGACATGAAGGGATCTTCTGGCCATGCTAGACCAAGAGCGATAGCAGCGACTTCCGTCATCCAGAAGAATGAGATGCGGAAATGACATTCCAGTCACTTGGCGTTCATAGAAGATGAGAAATCCAGGGTTCGAATGACCTCGGATATTCCCATTTGAGTCCAGGAAGGCGACTCCTTTCCCTAGCCGATCACCGATATCTCGAACCAGGACATCCCTTTCCCAGAACATTTTAGTAATGATCGTTAAGTACAGAGAATCTGTCAGTGATGATTTGATTGCCACAGCAGCTTCTGAAGCCCATAGGTATGACAACTTGTCTTTTGGGGAAGCTTTCACATAGACAACTCTAGGAACAAGTTTTCCCACTCCTCCTGGAACCTCCCTGTAAGAAGCTCCAAATTCCAGGCCCTGCATGGGGAGGAAATTCAAGCAAGGGAACCTATTTGGTATGAACCGGGTCACTTCCGTCACAAATTGCCCTGTTTCCTTCGTGCTTCTCTTGACCTCTACAAGCAGTTCCACTTTTTCGCGTCCCAAGGAATCGATCACTCCCTGCAGATCAAGAGTCTCTCGGTAACTGGCATCACTGGGACGCCAGGCGATCCAAACACTTAGGCATTTATGATTTCCCGCGAAGTCTTTCCAGCAACGCCCGATTTCTTCTGATTCGCTTTCCTCCATTCCCCAATTGACCGGCATTTCATCAACGAGTACATGCATTTCTCTTTTAGAATTACAATTTTCGAGAAGAGAACCAATTCCTGGCTGACTGCTGCCTGAGAACTGGGTGTAATTCACGACTCTGATTTTGTCCTTGAATTTGAGATATTCCTGTCGGTTTTGGATATAACGGGTAAGGACTCCCTCTGACATGTTGACAATAAGTACCGGTTCACCTCTTTCTGCCATTTGTTGGGCTCTGTTGAGGAGGAGAAATGTTTTCCCTGTACCTTGCCCCCCAGCCAGGAAAAGAATGGGACGATCTTCCTTCAAGATTTTATTTTGGTGAGGGGTGAGAAGTTCCAAAACTGTTTGCATATTTTTGTCTTTGATATGGTGGAGATCTTCCACCGTTCCTCGCAGTCCTTTCACAGATGCAAAGGCCGTTACACATGTTCTCATCACATCTAAATAGCAATCCTTGACTGCTGAATGTTGTGTCTCCTGGTCTGTCAGCGCGATCCCGTGACTCTCAAGGAATTCTTCAACTGCTTTGTAAGATTCCAGATCGTCCATTGTGAGAATGTTCTTGTGGCAGCATTCCAAAGACTTGGCAACATCTCTCCTTGAGAGACATGGCATAGCGACGAAACTGCAGACGAGAGTATGGGGAGCTGCTATCGCGCCAACAAACTTCCGAAATATGCTTTCGCTTTTTTCCAATTGTTCATCTGCCTTGCCAACGTGAACAATGAATGGTGGTTTGCCACTAGTTTGCTTTCTGCTTTTTATCTCGAAGAAAAGGGCAAGAACCCTATTGCCAACCAGGGCTATGCCACAAGCATAGTGATCGCCCTGTTCAAAGATCCTTGCATAGGAAGCCTCTAGGCATTTCCCAAAAGTTTTAGTAAAGTCGTAGTCGCAGAGCAGAAGACTTGGGAAGTCAACAAATACAGCCCGAATCGAATTGAAAACTTTTACAACTGCATCAGCAGGTCGAATTACTTTTTCCTGGGTGTCTTTTCTGTCTGACCGATCCCTCAAGGATTTCCTCTCGGTGCTAAGTACGTAGCCTGCTGGGAAGGCGTAAGACATCTCTGCGTCTGGGTAATAAGTCTCCTGATACTTCTTCGCTCCCTCGATGAAAGAGTATTCCTGAAATCCATTCAGGCGAACCTTCATTCTCTCTCGAAGATCTTCATCGAAATTTTCCAACTCTTACAATCGCGCCAGCCTCTTAGAGTCGTCGCAATTGTGCGATAGTTCCTGTGAAAGCAATTCATAGGTTATTTCTACAATCTCCCCTGTTCCTCGTTCCTCTTTGACAGACAGAGCCAGGCCTTCCTCCCGGAGCACGAACCTTAAGAGGTTTTCCGTCCTGGAACCGTTTCTGATTTCCCATCTCCTCAGTTTCTGCCTCCACACACATACTGTTGAATAAGGATGAATTGACATTTGCTAACTCTCTCAATTGCCTTCGATTGGCCGGACAAAAGAAAAGCTCAGTGGAGTGCTCGTGGCGCATGCTTTGGGAGGATACGCTTTTGGTCTTCACTATTTATTGTCAGCATTAAGAACGTTTCAAAAAGAGCATGCGCACAAGTTCATGAATGCTAAAACGAGAGTGCCGATTAACATTTCGGTCACAATCGACTATTACCTAAACTGCAAAAATTGCATTCGATCGAATGCTAGAAAGAAAATTTGCAAATGGGCCTGGTCTTGATCGGTTGCAGGAAGTAGGACCGATCCAATTTTCTAAAATTACCTTTTCCAGTACCGCTACCAATGAGGAGACGACACCATACTAACTTATTCCATGAAGATGGTATGAGAGGATAGAACTTTTTGGCTGAATTCTCCACCTGGTTCAAGTCCTTGAACCGCCCACTCTGATCTTTCCGAGACTCCGCTTTGTGTCGACCCGGTGGGGCCCTTTGGAGCTTGAAGGAGAATAATTTCGTTTAATGAATCGAAAGCAATGGTATCAATTGGTGTATGTATCATCTGAATGATCCCGTATGGAAATGTCCTATAGGATATCTATGGTTATTTCTTATAAGAAACCTACAGAATTTCCTGAGTTTTTTAAGTATGAAAAACCAATAGGATCCTATAGGGTCGTATAGGACTCCAGACCTAGAGGATTCGGGGAGGATGTTTTGGGTTTCGAAATTCTGGCATTACAATGGGAATAGCAACAGGGGTCAATATTGGCGCAGCATTTTGGTGCAAATTAATTACCGAGTAGGGTTTTTCCCATTGTAGAGATATAATTTGTATAATTTCTTGTCCAGGCCCACATATGTCGCTGGAGTGTGCAGGATAGCGCGTCCATTTCCTTCGGTAGAGAGAAGCATTATTCATCTCTCAGCTTAGTCCGCATTTTCTCGTACGTGGTTTTCAAAGGGAATATGAACATATTTCAGGCCTGGTCTCCATGATTCTATCTGGAATATGGGGGTGACAAATAAGGATGTATCAAACTTTCTTCATTGATAATGAGGCAAGGCAAGACATAAGGGGATGTACAAAACTCTCCTGTGAGAGGTAGTTCCATGGGTAAGGGGAGGGCACTTTTGTGTACTTTGAGAAATGCGAGAACTACATACCTCCATCTAGTGGCCAAGAGGATAGCTTCAAACGGAACCCTATAGGCCCTATACCTGTAGAGTTCCGTATAGGCCCTATAGGGACCCCGATAGGCCCTATGGGGAACCATATGGGCCCTATAGGGGACCTAAACGATCCCTATATGTTTCTATAGGATTCCAATATATTCCTAAATGAATGGATAGGAATCCTATAAGGTATTTTCGCAAGGATTTCTTAAAAGCCGAATTTCGTCCTGAATTTTTCTTTATTAATGGGTCTACATAAACGCGATCTCTTTTCATGCCAAAACAGGAAAAAAATAAATTCGCTACAACCTTTGCGTGTCGGAAATAGGAACACTGTGAAACCATCACACAGTCGATGAGGTCATGTCTACCTGTATAAAATACCTTTGCAGTAATAGTACCACCAAGTACTCGTATGATGTAGTCCCGGAATGTACTTCACTGGTGCCACAATAGTACATTATGTTGTCCCTTATATAGCATAACCAAAAAGTCACAACACTTTCTTTTGCTGATTGATCATATTTTGTGATAAAGTTACAAATATTTTTTTCATGCATTCCTGGAAGGTTGGGAGATAAGTTTTAACCACGGATAAGTGGACGACAGGACATCGTAGAACCGAATTTTTGTAACGCGAAATCAATGGTTGGAAAGCACAGATTTCCGTGAAAGACACCAATGCATGCCAAACCGCTTCATTTAGGCGCGTTTAGCAGCAACGACTTATATCCTGTTACAGAAATTGTTGCACGATGTTCTTTAGTCCAGTCATCAAATGGTTCAATTTAAACTCCCGACCTTTCAGGAAAACCTGCAAAATATTCTAAATAAACTTGGCTATGGCGTAGAAATTGGGACGCATGTATTAGCTTGATGCATCAGCCTGATGCATTCATCAAATTTCCGCTTGGTAAGCATCCTGATTACCCTTCATGGATGAAACACCTTAACAACTTGTTGGAATAGCTTCCAGAGATCTCAAATTTGCACTGCCTCGCAGTTGGGCGCTCAACAACTGGCCTATGGTGAAGTGGTTTGAAGTGCTGAGAAAGGAAACTGGCGCCGTCCATGGCGTCGCCCTCTTTGCCAATTCCTTCGGCATTTAGCAAGTTTTCTCCAAATTGCCTCATCTCACGATCTCGAAACTTTGCTCAATTTTTTGCATCTTTGAGTTTTTCTGCTACGCTTCATCGGGAAAAGCCTCTAGGTTTCCGTTTCGGACGAATAGTACGACCTCAGAGCTGCTGTTGCGCTAATGACATTGGTTTACTTGGCAGATTTTCTCCATTAATAATCTTCACTCACACTTGAAACCCAAAAATATTTCATAATATGCTAATACAAGCTAGTGCACCAAATTTCAAGAAAATCACCCAACTCCTTTTTGGCCGTGTTTTTTTCACGATTAGTACGTCGTATATTAAAATGTATAACTTCTAACAAAACGTGATTATTCAGCAAAGCAAATGGATCATGCCTTGTTGGTCACCGCTATGGAAGACGTAGCTATAGAAGTACGATACTAATTTAAGCTTAAAAGTCGAACAGAGGGAGTGTGACGAATTTAATATTCGGACGGTATGCGGCACGTGATTCGAAATAAATTTGTTGTAAGTAGGTGATTTCAAAAAGCACTTAGATTTTATAGTAAACATGAAATGTACTTGGTTGAATTTTCATTTTAGAGACCAGTTGCATAAGATGCAACATCATAATCCTCAAATGAAAGTTATGGAACTACTGCAATGATTTGCAATGCAAAAGCAAAGTTTTATGCAAAACTATTTGCATTTTTAAAATAGCACAAATATATTTGCGTTCTCATCCATAGCTATCCAATTTCAGCCGGAAAGGGAGTGGTGGGGAGTGGGGGGAGGTCTAGACCTAGAAATCCCGATCAGGTTGGGAGGAATGCCAGACCAGATGCTGACACGAAAGGAAAAATATGGATCAAAGATGGGAGCTGCATAACTTCCAGCGGAGTTTTGATTGAACGTGACTGACTAAACTGCCTAGGCCTGAGAGCGGAATCAATTTTGAATAAATAATAGAAAAATTACTGTTTTCTGGCTTCGTACATACAACTGGCGTGATGTTGAATTGCTGCCGCTAATAAGTGGAGGGAGATTCCTTCCTAACTGATGATTGCTGGTGAGACACGAGTTCTGAGCCAATCGCTCCCAAGTTAACTGCCGCACTCACCCGTTGTATTCCGAGACAGTATGAAGCATTTTGGGCCAGCTGGTCAAAAGAAAAGGGTTAATTTAAACCCACTATTCGTCGCGGAATGCAACGAAGATAACGCTTCACACTCAACAGTAGCATCGACCATGAAAAGGATCAAAAGCTGCGACTGTTTCTGTGTGATATCTCTATATGAAGACAGCTTCTGAAGAAATGAAAAACTATTCTAATCTTGTCCTCGTAGTATTACGTAGGCAAATTTATTTTGGATCCAGTGCTTCATTTATATATTTTAAAGCCTGACGAGCAGGTACCTGATTCCCGGTCTACCACCGGGAATATATAGAAGTGCAATTAAAGTATTTCCCAGGAACATCTTTCCTTTCAGTCTTTCCTTGTAGGATTCTTTTCTTGACATTCTGGTCATAATAAGGAACTCTTCCTCTAGCCAGGTTTCAGAAATAGAGTCAGCAAAGCAATATTGTGAAGACGAACAGAACCTCCACGTTCGCGATGTAAGAATAAAAGGAGAGACATTCTTCACTGCCTTGTTCCGCAAGCTTATGCCACTCAAGTCTGTATCAGTTCATGGTTGACTGATATTGAGTGCGTGAGGGTGTAAAGCAATAGGCATTGCAGAGATGAAAGAAATGATTTTAACTCCAATTAGATAGTTTTTAATAGCTTCGAAAATAAATTTCCCTTTCCCTGAAAAAAATTGCTGGGAAAGGAGTATAGGAGGTGTCGCCATTGAACTCCTCCTTCACAATTAATATTCTATGGTTTCTCAGTAGTAAGAAAAATTGATAATGCCAGTGTAGGATTCTGTGAGTCGAGTAGGTCACTTCATTTACAGTATATTGTTTTGTATTTATTTCAAGAACTGTTTCGGTGACTGTCGATATAATAGATTCAGAGACATTCTTGAACGAAGGAGTCAATTGGCGATGTCTGCGAATGAATTCAAACGGACGTCAATGAAAATTATACCATCAGCATGTCAATAATGAGCAACCAAGGAGCAGGATATTAAAGGAAATTAGGCAGTATGAGACTTCAAGTAAAGATACTAAGAAGCCATTGCCTTGGGTCTCACGATAATCGAACGATCATGAGAACTGCACCATGACATTCTCTAGCATAGAAATCATTTGAATGGCTTGAATTGGAACAAGGCTGAAATTGTAGATGTTGCCTCTCTGATATGTTTTCAACATATCTGATAAGCAATGAAATTGTGAGAAAGAGAGAAGGAAGTTATTCTCCCTCGAAATAGGGAAAGTCAGACAAATTCTGACCCCTTTGGGTTTTTCCTGTCTACATCTGTTCCCGCCTTCGTTTTGAAATCGATAGTTTTGGGACCTAATCCAATCGAGAAGAAAATTCAGTTCCTGTTCTTTCGCTATTATAAAGTTGGAAAAGCTGAATTCAATGTCCAAATCACACCAGCAATTTAGATGTTGGATTTAACTTTTTCTGCAAATCATGAAACAACAATTTGGACTTGTGGCGTGTCATATGCGTTCTACATCGAGCTTCCCCTTCTCAAGCAATTTTATTCAATGGGTTATCTATCTCCTATCATCAAATGAGAAAAACGCATAGAAAAATAAGTCATGTTATGACATTTTTTATGAACAGTCTCGTTCCAGTAAAAGATATACACTGGACAGACGTTCAAGATTTACCCATTTCAGACTTTCACGTCTATAAACGGTGGTTCATAATTGACTTTTCCATTGAAGCATTAATACATGGCTTTGATTAATGAACCCTCTAGTTGTCATAGTGTCTTGTGAGACCGTTCAACATGGAACCTGTGGAGTTATACTATTAACTTCTGTGAGCCAGATCTGAACGAACATGGTGGAAAACATGGCGGAAAATAAACTGTTCATAGATATTTGTAGTCCCTATATTGAACGAGGATTAGTGTAACCCGCATGCCAAACTTACGTCATCCTATGTTTAACACTTCAAATGCTCTTGGCGTTTATACGAGTATATACGCCCTCTCATGAGCGTGTTTGCACTGCTGCGGGCGTTAATTTACGCTTTGAAACACCCATACATTCTTTCGCTGTTTCTGCGGCTGTTTGACAGCCTCAACGACGAGGAACCTGTCCTGCCACTTCCAAAAGTGTTCATTAAACTATGTAATTGCATGTTCTATACCTTTTAAATTCAATATGGAACGGTTTTCACCTGACAAAGAAATTAGCTTTTCATCAAATCAAACAGCTAAAATAATTTTGCACAAAGCTGCAGTCGAGGATCATATAAGTGTTCAGTTGAAGTCAATGCTTGTTGAGTCTGGAACCCAACCCAAGGACTTGAGATAAGCAAAAGCAAAACAGGGAAAAGTAGAAGTTACTCCAGTAAGTGCAAAAATACAAATCAGGATTGACTGCGCTTTTGCTGAACTTTCTAAGCTATAGATATACCACGTACTAATCCTTCCCAAAAGTTGCTTTCTTTGTTTTAATATTGATGTGTAACTGATTATTTGATGCAGGACTTGGAATTACGACCTAAATCTGCACGCTCACGTACATCCCAATGGCTCTCTCTGAGCAAAGGATCCCAGAAAGAATCCTGGTAATGGGAGTACTGCAATACAAATCCGGATTTGGTAAGGAACAGATCTTGTTAGCATTCTCGGAGAACCAATAGAAGGAGCTTCTTAGACGCCTCGGGTATGTACAGGCATTAGGTTTCGCAGCAACTCATCCTTTAAGTTCGGTGGAAATCCGTTCATTGTGGCAATGTGTTCATTTAATGGAGTGTTTGTGTAGAATGAGATTGAATCATCCTCTCTGAAGGAAATTCTGATAAGCAAGTGTGTCGCGAAAACAGATATGTAGGAAATTGCTCTGGAATGGAAAAAATTCACCTGCGAAATTGAGATTCCTCAGAAGCGTACACTCTCCAGGCTCCAATTTCCTGTTGTAAGTTGAGTAGATATAATAACTTTGATCTTGAGTTCCAGTCCAAGGTAAGCTTTCGGTGCTTCTGTCCAGTGAAGTAAGAGAGGGAGAAATGCTCTCCCCTGTACGGTCTGATATCGTATCTAATCTGAATGGTATCAGAGACTCATGCTTTAGGAAGCGGGTATACGTAACGCTAAGGCTGTAAACGATCTGATAGAGCCATTCCTGGGTAAATCGGTTTGAGAATGGAACTAAGCAGAGAGAGAGACTTCAAATATTTCTGACCTGGGGTTCGGAGGCAATTCCAACGAAGTGCCGAAATATCCGACTTCTTTATTTTGAAGTAACACTTTTTAAAACTCTTTGACTGCCGTTCACGCCATATGGTATAATCGGAGTGGCTCACTTTCACTGCCGTTTCCCCCATTTGGTGTGTTGACGTTTGCCCGTACGCACTTTTACATTTTCGTAGATGGCAGCAGAATACAGTCTGCTGTCTTCCACTGTGTCGTTGGAACCCTTAGCAGCACTTCGAAAATTTGTGTTGGAGTTTAAGTCCATAATTGATTGTTTTGCTTACCACTCCTCGTGCTATCTGTCAGCTATTCACCGGGGGCTTACCAATTGCGCAACACTCTTTATTTTTAGTTTTATCTCATTTTCGTTCGTGTTTCCCAACAACTGCAAAGGAAATTGTCATAATTGTTACAAAAAAATAATTGCGTGTATACTTGTATAGGTCACTTAATTTTAGGAAAATTTCCAGATCACAAAAGGAAACCGCTAAGAAATGCACAGAGGAAGACGTGCTCAATTAATTTTTTTGCTGACAGTGACTCCGAGACTGATTTGCTGATTGGAGAAGATGGGAGTGATGAAGAACAGCATGTACGTGAAAGCGCCTTCTCACAAGCTGGATCTACCGATGCAGAATGCGATTCTGACGATGATGAGCAACGCTGTGTTGGTGGTGATCCTCCACTCAAGCAGGTGGCACACCCACCTTGCAACAGGACTCTCAGGTCGAAAACTAACACGCCTTTAATTTACCGTATATCAGAGGAAATTCAGGACAGGGATGTCCGAAAGGTCTTGTGATCCGGATCCTGACTGGACTCCAGCCGTGGTAGAACGCAGATGGTAATATAGATCCGACATCCCTGGGATAATGTCCCCTTATGAGTCTTACCTATTCCTCCTCAACGTCTTATCAGGGCTCACACGGGCTTCTGTCCGTCTCCTTAATCAGCATGCCTCCTTTCCCTTTCCCTGGACGACATCACTTGAAGGGCGGCGGCCCGTTGCATCCAGGAAGTGAAAACTTAAACTAGATCCAAAGTGTGATATACTTATTAGTGATAGGCTAGACCATGTTAAGTCTAAGGTTCACTAACTTTTCTTTATTTTCAGTATCTTCATATGTCATGCCCCAACTTTGGTTGTTTTGTTTCATGTATGCTTTCAGAATTTTCCATGAGATAGGGAGTGCAGTCCAAGTGACAATTTAGAACATTTATGGCTTGCCGGCTGAGCTTATGCGAGGTGAGACTTTCGGAACGGCTAAGAAGAGAGTAACTAAGATGTTCCGCTAACCCCACAAGCAGGGCAATATGGGATTGGTTTTGGGATATGACATAATCATCAAATAAAAATGGTATAGATGTCGATAAACGTTTTATTTCCATATCAGTAGATAATGAAGCGAGAGGACCATCTAGCCCCAATCAACCCTAATTGGGAGATAGGACAGAGGTGAAGAGGAGAGAAGTGAGCAATTGAACAGAAAATAACCGTCATTTTCACTCTATCGATGTTTCTTCCTACTTCCCTATAACAGAGATCTTTTCTTGAACAACAAATCCTCTGCTTACCTGCAAAGAAAACAGAATCCGAGTCAAGAAACCGATGATGAATTCAAGAATTCCTTGGAAGAATGGCCTTAATGGAAATTATTTCTCCTTGCGTGAGATGCTTGAGAAGTTTTCGCGGTATGTGATGGCTCTCATCGTTTACCTCGAGATTTAAAATACATGATTTATGATATGTGAATGTATCCATTCGACTTTCAGGTTCTTCTTATTCCATCTTAGCTTTGAAAATAATCATATTTTCGAAAAGTGAGGCTATTTTCGAAATGCAAGTAAGGATGGATGCATCTTTACAATAGAAGGGCTGAAAGGAAAAGTGGTCTATCTGTAAAAACCGTCTAAGAAAAGTTTAGTTGGTTTAGTGCACATTGACCATTTTCCCTTCAATTGAAGATGACAGTTTTGGGGATTCAAGCTGGAGAAAAGCTAGTCTATCTACAAATACCGCTATTCCTCACTTTTAAGAAGGTGGCTACCAGAATATTCACTCATTCAGTGAAGACCTCAAGAAAAATATTATATTTCCACGGACCGCTCTTGCTTTCGGCTGTTCAATTACTTCACCAGTTATTTGTTTTCCACTTGGGTCATTCCATCATGATACGTGTAAAACGTTTGATGAAATAAATTGGAAATTGATTGCACTTCGTTTCCACAGTTTCTAAAAGAGGAACTCGAAAAAGGAAATGAGATTGTAGGCATTGGCATCTTACTCATCATGGTGATTCCATTTTCTTACAGCACTTATGCAGGAACTTATGTAGGAACAAAATAATTGTTGGAGTTCTTGTGTCTCTTGTTTCATTTAAAGGTCACAATCTCTGAGAGCCAATTTTCGGAAACAAATATCTGCTTCAAATGAAAAATATCTAATTATGAGTTAATTTTTTTGGCATACATAAAATGCCTTAAAGTGTACATATACCAGAACCTATCTTGAAAAGTAATAAATTCCATGCCAAGTGACCTAGGGATGATACTCGACCATCTCAGAAAAAAATGAAAAAGTTCACAGTTAACAGGTCTTACATGAAACTCCAAAAACTGAAATTCTTCTTCTAGTTGGTGAATGAGATATTAACTTTAGAAGTGTGAAAACTAATATGAGATATGCAAATGAAAAAATGAATAATATAAAAAAACACATGGCAAGGGGAATCACAGATGGGATGACAATGGTCCCTTTTAGACTTGGATGTCCGACTACAAGCTCTAGGTCTTAAGCAGGTGCTTGGCCGTGAACCAGGATTCGGTCATAATCAGGTACTAGAACGTGAGCAAAAATGTGGTTGCAAGCAGGCGCTTGGCCATGTGTGGGGATTTTCCACAAACAGGCGCTAGCCCGTGAACAGTTACTATATCAATAACACCGTTGGAACATGGATGGTTCACAAGGGATCAGACAGAGTTGAGTCGGGGTAATGCCAATTTAAAGCTGTTAGCTCTCCGCTGTCTTCAATTACTATATCACAAGATTGTCTCTTGCAAGGAGTGCTCATTAACTAGGTAAGTTTCACTTTACCACGATAAAAGTCCACGCAGAAAAAGAGCAGGCAGGGAAGAAATCAGGGGACTCGCCAGACAGCAGCAGCAGCTCACTAAACCGCCAGGGGACGTCCGAAATCCCACAGACACACACCCCACATCTGGTAGTTCACTTGACGTTCCCAACTTGTTCAAGTGTTGCGTCGGGCGGAAAAGGGTGTGTGCGTGTGTGTGTATGCGGTGTCGGATGCGAGAATTCACTCTATGGGTACTACTCAAAATGTTCATAAATGTCCGTACATCATTATATCCTTCCCTTCTGACTCTTTACTGTGACACGAAACTCATTCATAAAGACTTGACCGAGCTACTCATAATGAGCAGCCCTACTTGCTGCTCTTGTCGTCTGCTCTTCATACACAGAACACTACACATGGAATGACCTATTTGAATTGCTCTTGTCTTTCCTCCGTAAGACACTGCAATGCATCGCATCACTGGACACGGACACAAATTGGACATGACCATTTCATTTCCTGAAAAATGAGTCTGGTTCTAATATGGCTACGTCTGTGTCTCTAGCACTTCATCAGGTACCTGAATCTTCCATTTAAATATATTTTGAAGAATCGTGTTCATCTCTAAACATGAATTTACATACCGACTCCTATCATTGAT